GAGAGTTTTCACGGAGTAGAATTCAAACCACCCTTGCTGAGTTGAACTCATGATGCTTTACATCATGCATCGGTTTAAACCAACACACATCTAGCCAGAATCTCAGTGTGTAAATTGTACCATTTATAGGAGAAGGGGACTGGAAACCAGCATTTTGCCAGCCACTAGGATACCATTAAGAAAATTATCGCTTCCGTGGCTGAAATGAGTTAATATCCTGCCAAATAAAAAGGATTGTGTTTTCTCATGCCAACAGATTAACTTAAATGCTTGTGGCAAAAACCACTGAGACCATTCAATCAGTTTAGTTAACTATTTAGTTATAGTTAACTGAAGTTGCAGTTTCATCAAAGCATATAAACAGGAGCCCAAGCAAGATTCCTATTAGCCATAGAGAAATGCACAGAAATGAAACTTACATTATAGAAGAGAGAAAAATGTTACAGAACAGAAACTTGGGCTGAGTGTTTAATAACGGATGCTTTAAATTGTAACCATGGAATTGTCTTTATTGTAGCTACATTGACAGATGCAAAATGTTGTCATATTAATCATTGAAGTTAAGTTTTTTGAGTTTCAATATATACCATAGTTTGTATTTAAGGAGTGTTTATTAAATGGACATAATAAATTCATTTATTCCACAAGTACATATTGCAAATCATGAAGCTTACTGCTTAGTGAGAGAGATAAAAGTGAATCCCATTAACTTGTAAATATGCATATTTACATACCGTGAAAAGGTTAAGAGGGTTAGAAAGGGTTAGTATCAGGAGCCAGGTGAGTTTGTAAACAGGTTTCTGTTCTAGACTAAAAGGGTAGGCGGGTAGAGTCTTGCATTTTCAAAGCGCCATCACATCTCAGCACACAGCACAGCGCCAGACACACAGTACCGTGTTTTGCCATATACAATGCACACTCACATTTTTGGGTCAAATTCTCAGGACAAAAATCTTTCATTTTAATTTTTTAATTCATCTTTTTATTTATATTTAGAGACAGAATAGATTATCACATTCCAAGGAATTCTTTTGCATACATATATCATGATTGCTTTCTAGAATTACACTTTTAACACATAAGAATAAATCAAAATTAAAAACATTTATATAAATATGCAATTAGTACTACCTATGTATAATGTGCATCCTTATTTTTCCCCAAAAAATGTGAGCAAAAAAGTGCACAATATATGCAGCAAAATACAGGTATATTGAACTTAGATCTGAAATTTGAAGAGTAAGTAAGAATTCATCAGTTAAAATCTAAAGCCAGGAGTGGGTGCAGTTGAAGACACAGTTGAAGGTGCAGGGAAGATTTGGAAGGAGTATATGGAAGATTCTTAGATGGGAGGAAAATGGTATATTCGAGAAACTCTCAGAACACCGGGGAAGTGGGAAAACAGCAAGAGAGAAAGTGGTAAGAGATGAAGATCACACACAACCTTATAGTCCATGTTAAAGATTTTGATTATTATTTTGAGAATCATGAGAAGTGCTTGAACATTTTAAGGTGTAAAGCATTGTAAGATTCACTTCTGTAAAAACAACACCCTAGTTGCAGGGCAGAAAATATGTGGATTAAAAGGCAACTAAATGGATGTAGTTATGAAGCTACTGAGGGCAAGAGCTGACGGTAGCTCAGACTAGGGTAGTGGCAATGGGGATAAAGAGAAATGAATGAATTTGGGGACTAATAAGTAAAATTGACTTGTAGTAAGTGGCATACATTATTTTGGACAGGAACAACACAAAAGGCAGTTTCCCTTGAGAAGCTTAGGTTCTTGTTTGGAGAAATGTAAAACATAAAAAATAACATCATAATAGATATTTACAAGCACATAATAGAGAAACAGTAGAACGTAAAGAATGGTGGAGATGGATGAGCCACTTGAGATATGGTGCTCAAGCAAAAACTTCTTTTAAGGAGGGGATGTTTGAGATGAACAGGGAATAAAGAATAAGACATAGCCAAAGGAAGTCAGAAGAAAAAGCAATCATGAGGACTTCTGATCGAAATTATCTTGTTTTATTTGAAGAATGGCAGGCAGGCCAGTGCAGCTGGAACAGAGAGCAGACGGAGGCTGAATGAGCTGTGCTCACAAGTCTGGCGCTTCGCCGTGGCAGAAAACGCAAGAGGATCATGGAGTTTGGGCCAGAAAGCTATGGGTGCAGTTTTAGACATGTAGAACTTTAGACACCTTTTAAACACCTAAAAAAGAGAGACTTAAGAAGGAACAATAGGCACGGGCAATATTAAAGATTAAAAAATCTGAGACCAAAATATTAATTTCAAAATCCTTGGGAAAGAGATGATAAATTAAACTATGGATATAAAGAAGATGCCCTTGGAAGAATACATGGAAAATAGAAGTCTTGAGGAATTTCAACACTTAACGGCCGGGTACAGGGAAATGAACCTTTATGGGAAAGGTACATGCAGCCCCAAAGGTGAAACCCACACAGCCCCAAAGGTGAAACCTTTGAGTATTTCAAGGACAGTGGCAAGGGTGTCGGTTGCTGCCGAGAGGCAAAGTGCATGGAAGCAGGTTTTAAACATAAGGATTTCACTGCTGGTCTTAGAGAGAACCACATGGGTGAAGCAAAGAGAGAAAAGACTACTCATAATGGACTGAGCAGCGAGTGGAAAGTAATGAAATGTCATCATTCTGGTAGACAAGTCTTTTCAATGCTTTGCATCTGTGGATAAAATAAAAAAATTAGGAACTAGATGAAAAATTGATTCTGAGTTAGTTTTTTCGGTTCAGTTTGGTTTGGTCTGGTTTTATTTTACCTTTGAAGAGGAAGATAACTAAGCACATTGAGATGCTAAAAAGCATCAGAATATACGGCTACAAAAATTAAGGCAGAGGTCTTATTGATATCTAGTATAGAAATATTTTCTCAGCTTTTGTCATTAATTGTTTTAGTAATTGTCCATACTGAAAATATACAAAATTTAAGCAAAACAATTTTACACATTATGAATTCCTATTGTTTTCAGAATTCTCATAATTTTATTTTATTTTTTAAAATATTCTAACAAAAATAAGAGGAAATGTTCACATTTAATATTCACTATAAAATACATATGTATTTTACAACAACATATGTATGTACAAACAATTTTAAATCTATATTTCATAAATATAATCCAATTTGGCTTTACTAACTGTGTATTCATTTAACATAGTAATATTTTTCTTTAATGTTGCATTAATTTTTACTCTTTCTTTTCTTTTAAACAATTAAAAATTTGTGGGGAAAAAATCCAAAGGAAAAATTTAAAATGTATTTCAGCCAGCAGTTTTCAACAAATAAATTTGAACTAAAAAAAAATCAATTCACAGATATAGTCACTACATCTTTGTAATGGTTTTCATGGTTAATATGACTAAAAATGAATGAATAGGAAGATCAATGAAAAAAATTTTCATCCAGATGGCTTTCACCAACACTGTTGTAGCCTGAAAAGAGATACTATTCGGGATACCTAATGCATCATTTAACATAAAACAAAGAGTGTACTATATGTATATTGTTCCTATATGCAATGATATGACTTAGCATTGATGATTTTTAAATTGTCTCTCTTGTAAGGACACCATGCAATACAAGGTTGAAAATATATATGATGCAAATTATTTTGAAACTTTCCTGACAAGATAATGAGTTTGAATTTCAGGCTGTATCATAGGAAAAAACCTCTGAAATGTTTTACCAACAAATGAAAGGCGCATGATAAATTGCGAGGTTGGTTGCACCTGTAAAGATTAATCCCATGTTCAATCATTCATATGAGAAATATTTATTGAGTATCTCCTACATACTAGCAAAGTTTAAAAATGTGCATCATGGGCCAAATGCCTGAAATAGTGCTGTTTCAACTCTTGAAGTTCAAGTCTCCTGCATCCTGATTTCTCTATCCAAAAAGGAATGTTGTATGTATTTCTAGTAACTATGGAGACTGCAATTCAACAGAGGGATAACCAACAGAGAGTGAATATATCATACTCACAAACCCACCCACAACTATCACTTGCCTATGGTGGTCAGATCAGACCAATATGGACTGTTCTTCATGTATTCCCCCCACTAATTGACCAATGCCAAGTGCTAGAGGTACAACTGAACATCTGACCAGAGACTTAACAGTGACTGTCAGAAGCCATGGCTTAATATGCCTTATATTCTAAGAAGTAAATAATTTGTCTTTGAAAACTCCAATCAAGTAATGATAATAAACTTATAGAAAAAGATACACTTCAAGATTCACCAAACTAAGAACTGATTGAGCATCTCTGCCTACCGAGACTGCAATGCGGGTGGTGTCTGGCCTCGAAGCCAAAGTAAACCCTGGAAGGTTTAGTGTTTGGTACCAAAAGTATAGAGAGAATTCACCTTTTCAGGCCTAAGAATTCCCCTGAAATATAGCTGAGATAAATCTAAATTTGAAGAGTACAGTTGGGCTTAAAGATGGAATGTCAATAGTTTTTAAACTGTATGGAAATATGCAGTTAGGAAGAGGCTTAACCAGGACCCCAAAATAACCCACCCATAAAATATTCACTTAGTGGGATATACCCTTCCAAGTCTGAACCTAGACATGCACACAAAGAACAATAGAGGGAGATTATCATTAGATGCCACAGTGAAAATTGCATGGATTCAAAGCATTTTGGGATTTCTGAAGGACTGAACTGCTTGTCACTGTATTGACATGAAGTCATTCAAATGTTCTTCTGTAATAACTGGCAAAAGTTAAGCACAAAACAATGAGCTGACCGAACAGATATTTCTCCATACACTTTCTGTTAATCATTATGCACCAGTTAGATATTTTTTATAACTCACCAGTCCAAAAAAAATGCTAGCACACCCACAGACACTGATGATTAATGATAAGTTCAGACATGTGTAAAGCTAGAGAACAAATGATTAACTACTTCATCATTGCCCCACTGACTTCAAAAACCACGTCATTGTCCAGGATTCTCTGAAAACAAACAGACTCACATATCAACTGGTTTCAGGCAAGCCGTGGTCCTGATTATTGATTTTTTAAAAGGTATCAGCTTTAACAAGTGACCTCAGAGGACTCAGTTACCAGAGCTACAGCCTAATTCCCAGAGTAAGCAGAATCAAGAGGTATGCTAAACTTTGGGTCATCTCCAGTAATGAGTTGATTCTAAAGTCCGTACAGAGGACCTGACCTCAGACAATGATTCCTGGTTATTATCTAAGCAAGGCAGGCATGACAGCCTCTGCTGTTGGTGTGTAAGCAAAAAAGAAAGTGGAGTTTATTTTGAATGCTGAGAACTAAGGAAGGAAAAGTATATTTTATGTTATGGAATTTTAATGTTTCAATTGCACTCTACGAGAAGTTTATCATTCTTCCATATTCCACTTGCATCTGTCCTTGAAATAATCACATGTAGGCATGATAACTTAACACAAACACTACTTTTGTGCTATATCCTGTGTATTTGGTTTTTGGTTTTCCTTTGCAGCTTTTTGCGTGGGGAATTAAGACAAATTTTAAAAATCATTGCTACAGGCATAAACCCTAGCCATTTTCATCAGTTATTCAAACGCTACCCCCCCAAAAAATATAGTTAATCCTATTTTTTGGCTAAGATTCTAATCTAGTCTTTAAAAACACTCTACATTTTAAGTGACTAGTTACTTAGACCAAGTTAGTAATATTTTTGGTTAAGATACGGCTGAATATTTGTTAAAAATTTCCCCCAAATATAACATTTACATAATTTTTCAATTTTTTTTCTAAGGCTCTTTCTATATCCAAAAAGTCAGAGCTTATATATATACTTCTTAGTTGTTTTTAAAGTTTAAAACTCCTAATCTTACAAATATTTCATCCTAATGGTTCCTATCCTCCAAGGTTAAAGGATTTTGTGGAACTTAAAATACTTGTGAAATTCTAGGGATTAACAATGATTGCCTCAGACAATGAGCAGAGTTAAGAGGGATAAGAAATGCTTTTATTTATGCTTTTATTTCTTTATGTACTGCCACCTGGGAGCTCTGGCCAAAGAAAGGTATTACTGAAATGTAATTTATTAATAATTTGTTTCATAACAGTTTACTGGATAAAGGAAAAGGAAAGGACTTGTGAAAAGCCTAAAACTCTCTGAGAAGGTGACTCCCTGATGGTAAGTATTTCACAGCAAGACTGAAAGAATAGCTCTTACCATTGTTCTTATGACCAAAGGGCCACATTGCTGACTCACAGCCAGGTGGACGGCTCCTTCAGAGAAGAGGACAGAATTTTGCACAGCACAGGTTCACCAGACAAAGTTTCTGCCTCACACACAAACAACTGCAGATTTCCACAGGTCCTCATCTCCTGAACACTGTGCCCCCTGCCCCACCCACTCCTTCCTCACGCAACCCTGTTGGGGAAAAAAAAACAAAAACGATACAAAGATGACTTAGAAATAGTAATTTGAACTTCAGCAACCCATTTATTTGGATAAGTCATGAAGGACTTGGAAATATTTGTTTTTACAGTGTAAGAAATAAGTCAGACCTGTGTTAAGATAGGGTATCCAGACTGAAAAAGGTGTAAGAAGATGCCCATGGTCCAGAGATGAGTGTGAAAAATATTTCCTGTAAGAAAATACAAGAAAACTGTGGTTGTTTAGCTCAGAGAAGCCAAAGTTAAGAATCTGCCAAGTTTAACTATAGAAATCATTTAAATTTCTGGGACAGGAAAGGGACATGGATCATTAATGTTTCTTAAGTTTAGTATATTGGAGACATGATGGTCAACCCCAGCTGCACACCAGGTCACCTGGGGAGAATTAAGAAACACCATTGTCTGAAACCCATTCCCCAAAACCTACAGCAAGTCTGCAATGGTCATGGGTCCCAGAGCATCTGTGTTTTCAAAAGCTCTCTGGATGTTTCCAGTGTGTGACTGGAGCTGAGACCACTGTAGAGAACATTTGCAGAGTTGAAACAAGCTGGGCTTTCCAGAGATTTAAGGCAGACATGTTAAGCCAATTTTCCCAATTTGGGAAACAGTCAGTATCAGGGCCATCTGAAGAGCTGTCCTGAAATACACACGACTCGCTTTTCCCACCCCTCTCATCCCAACCCAAATCTAAGTTTCTAAGATGTTCTCCTTATTCGAACATCAGTCAGGCTGCTGTGAGCTCTCTTCATAGCTAAGCATTGACCTTGAGCTTTGCTGGGCCAGCATGGCTCAGTTTTAGCAAGAATCCTATTAAGCCAGTTTAGGGAGAATCCTCCCATCCCAGAGAGCTGATCACCCCTGATAGCTGATCAAATTTCTTGTCCCCTCCCATCTCACCTTTGCTATCTGATCACCCTGGCCTGCCTTCAGCAAGAATTCAGTTGGGTCAGTTAAACGAGAATCGCCCCTACCCTTTGATTTATTTAATTTTCCATCCACCAACTACCCCCCACCTCCACTGCACACATACACCCCCGTAGGTCAAAATTCCCACTTGTTCTTTTATTTGGAATTGAGCTCCACCTGTCTCCCCTATTGCAACAGTCTTAACATCTATACTGATAGCAGAATAGGTGTCAAAAAGTTAAAAAGTGTCCGGATAATTTTTTCCATTAACACATGACCTTCTGAGAAGATGCTATCCATAGCCTTTCTCCTCCTATGCCCAGACTGGGAGCCACTCCAGGAGGGCACCCAAGTGACACCAATCTGAAATGCACTATCACTTCAGTGTTATAAACTTCAGCTCTTTCAGGATCCCAAGGGAAGAGTGCAGTAGAAAACTGGATATATAAAGGCAAGATATGTGATTTTTTTTTTGCCCAAAAAAATAAGATGAATAAATGGAGCCCAGCAGTAAATATTGTAGGAATAAAATTCCTTTGGGATACCAGAAATGCAGAACTGTAAAAATGTACAAAGGGTTTGATTGATGGTTTTGTTAGTAACAAGGTACGTATTAAAAAGAGAGAGAGGAAGAAGAGGCAACAAAATAAGAAAAAGAAATACAAGCCAGCACTTTTAAGAGGATATGATTTGAGAAAGGAAAAATAATAATAGAGCTCAGTTCCAAATCCAGATTGGGATCCGTAGCAAGGGGGCCAGGTGGCAGACGGAGGAATCAGGACCTGCAGGTAGTAACAGCTTTAATGAAAGCGGATGATGACCTTAGTTTAAATATATCCATGATCAGCCTTAAAATTTAAGATGCAACCAAGTTGCCACTGGTAAATACATTCACCTCTGTGGCAGACACTCGCTAGAGTTTGGCTTCCCATACGATATATACTTATAACACTGCATGGATATTACTTTGGGATGTTTTATGTAATATTCTATAAAAATAACATTTAAAACACATTAAATATTTTAAATTTTTCAAAACTCAGGTAGAGAAAGTGACTTTCTACCCTCATGAAGTTAATGTGCCTGAAAGATATCCGGGCAAAGTCTCTGCCATTTCTGAACCGATCTCTTCCTAGTTCATGAGAAGTTCATGGAGAATCTGGGTTTAAACCTATTTTATAGATGGGAAAAGAGAGGAAGTAATGGTAAGTGGACTTCCCAAGGTGTTAGACAGGATGTCTCTCTGAGTTAAAATTACAATTTATAGTCCTTTAATCACCCAACTAATTACCGAGGCTGCTGTTAAAGCACTGTCATACTTTATGAATACAAAGCTTTATGTACATTTCCTCTGATATCAAGAAAATTACATGAAATAAAAAGCCTGCTCTACCTTTTATGAGTGTTCAAAATTGGATGTTGTATCAATTACATGTGGTTTTAAGAAACATGTTGCCCATAATATGTAGGAAAACTGGTACAGGATTAATAGACGTAGTTGCCAATTCTTTAACCTTCGACCTTTCTGTACCTTTGAAATTCTCAATAAGATGCATTAAACATACAGAATATAGTTGCATCAGTGTAAACTAAGGGTTTGGAATGCATGGTTATTACATTTATATGGTTATATGGAAAAAGCAGACAGAGCTGTATTTTATTAAACAAGTGTTGCACCCATGTTAAGTTTGACAAGCACACTTAAAACATGCATCTGTTCAAAAAGGATGAATTGAGTGCTCCCTCTCTGTCAGGCACCAGATGGGGTGGACAAGAACACACTGGGAGCTGAGACGTGACCGGTCGGACTTGGTTCACCAGGGGTCACTCCGCTTGCTGGTTTGTGACTAGATTTGGGGCAGTATTATGAGCTGAATAGAGTCCCCCTGAAATTCGTATGTGGAAGCGCTAATTCCCTGAAGGAAAGCAGTACCTGCCAGCCCAGATTAGACCCCTGGGTCATAGTGATTCTTCTGAGCTGATTGTTTTTCAGAAAGAGCAGATACCAGAGAAGCACTGGAAACCCGGTGGAAATTAGCCTATGGTAAGAGGAATTCACATTTATAAGGGAAACTCTGGTCTGCGAGGGTGTATCCCTCCCCACACCAGGAAAAGAAGGTTGACTAAATCCTCATTCCCACCGAGGGAAAAGACAGTGACTTAAATCTGGGTAACAACTGTACCCTTGTTACTTGTTTATTGTGCTTTCCCTGGGAACCACCCCCAGGATCTTTCTTTTGTGTTCAGCTGAGGATGTGTTAAAGAGAAAAAACCACAGGCCCAGAATAGAGTCACTTGTGCTGAAGCTCAAGACACAAAACCTAGATTTAATGCTTGAGCAAGCTGCCGTTTTCAACCTTCTCCGGAAATGTAACCTTGATGGAATCAGTCTGGAATTTTCCGGTCAGTACAAATGAAGTTATCTGTCATGCGCTCCCTCATCATCCTTCAAGGGAAACTGAGGCAACCTGACTGATAAGACCCTTGCCCTCCCCTCAGGGGAGTAGCGTTGCCTGAAACAATCCTTTGTTTGTTTCTGCTAATAACTCTTATCCTGTCGTTTCTGCCTATAAAAGTCTTCCCTATTATACAGCTTCTCAGAGCACCTCTCTGTCTGCTAGATAGGATGCTGCCCAGATTCACAAATGACCCAGCAGAGTCCATTGGATCTTCAGATTTACTCAATTGACTTTCTGTTCTTTAACAGACAGTGTATAAGGTAAGGCTTGGGTCATTTCAGGGTGTTACTCAGTTTTCCTGGAAATCCCCCATGTCTACAGGAGATACACATGTTATTAAACTTCTGTTCATTTTTCTCCTGTTACTCTGCCTTATATGACAGAGGGAATGGAGGGGTCTCAGCTGAGAATTTAGAAAAGTAAAATGAACAGGAACACCGCAGTAACTCAGAATGCAACTGTCTTTGAACACAGGGCCACGGAAGAGGTAATTAAGGTAGAATAAGGTTGTATGGGTGGTTCTCAGTACAATGACTAGTGTCCTTACGAGAAAAGGAGACCAGGACACAGGCAAACACAAAGGAAGGGCCATGTGAAGACACTGGGAAAAGAAGGCCATCTCCACGCCAAGAAGGGAGGCCTCAGAAGAACCAGCCCTGCTGACTCCCACCCTCCATAACTGTAAAAAAAACATGTTTATTTTTTTTCAGCCACCCAGTCCGTTGTATTTTGTTACAGTAGCACTAACATGATTTGGGGAGAAGGCCAGTGAAGTCACAGAGATAAAAGTAAAACTGTCCAGGAAGCATTTTAATTATTCTAAGACCAAAAGAATAAATTGGAATTTGGAACATGGTTTTCTTTCCATCATTTCCTTTAGTTAAAATTCTCTAAATCATACTGATTTTACTACAGAGATGTCACACACTGTCTAAATATACAAAAGAATTGCAAAGGACTTTATCGCAATAATTTTCTTGTTTTTGATGTGTTTTGTTCATGGGATTACATTTTGCTAGATGATAAACATTGCATCAATGTTTTGCATAAAATTTTAAAATTAGAAGAAGATGAGTGGAAACAAAAAGTCCTGTGTGAGAAGACTGCAAGAAGTTTCAAAGAACAGCCCAAAAAAGCAATTTCTGAGGAGGCCATGCAGTGCCATGCTCTGAAAACTGCCTGTGCAGTGCAGGCCGGCGGGGTTAGGTGAGCAACGCTCTCATCCGGCTACTTCTGAATCTACCTCACACCCAGAGCCATGTGCTTTATTAATTCACGAGGTCAGTGGTCCTACTGCAAAGAACAACAGTCCCCGCAGCGGACATGGCGCACAATTTTCTCTCTCACCTTGATTTTGGCTTAGCTTTTA